ATGCATGTGTCTGTTTTTTTTTTGTTCCACGAAGAGACGAGTCCGATCAATCATACTTGTAGTGTCAAATCAATCAGATTTTAGTTTAAAATCAGCATTTGTATCTTCTTTAACTAGACTATGCTACTTCCACGCGAGCTAAATTTTTAAATATGCAGTAGCTGACTTTTGAGTCGATGATTTGTTCCATTTGGAAATAAATGTATCAGATTCATGAACACGTTGCAAAACTTTTCTATTCATGTGTTTTGAAGATAGATTCCGATGTTATAAGAATTCCATAACACAAATAACCCGAGATTTTCCTCTTATTTTCGAAGCCATAATTAATTAGTTGTCCGTATAAATCAGAAAGGTTGCAGAGGATTGCAAGAATTATATTCATGCTGGAAAGAGGTTTCAGACCAATCATAGCGATGCATTAATGGCGAAAATTGTATTTATTCAGCGTATTTCAAAAATACGGAATAATTATTAAACTTATTATCAGCATAAGATGAAACAATCGTATGTCTCTAAAGTGTCATACAACAATTTCTATTCTGCTTTTTGTTCGCGTTAAGAAAACTATGCAGCACCATTTGGCGACTGGCCTTCTCATTTCTTTTGTCATCGCACTCCTGCTGCTTGTATGGAAATTAAAACAATAACTTATCGCTGTAAAGGAGGACGCTAAATTTTTACGCATTTTGTGTAGCATTTATATATAGCAACAAAATATAAAAATTGTCAGCAAAATAAATAAAATTAAAGCGCCACGGTTACATCGATATAGAAAATAACATGAATATAAGAATCAGTTTATAGCCTCATGACTGCGCTGCCAATTACTTGTGAAAAAATGGATGCATGAACCTTGAAATCTTTCAAGTTTGGTTGCAGATGAAATGGCGTTTGAGTTCCATCACCTAGCGATCTGACAAGAGGAGCGCCTAGTTTGTATGGAAAATATAGTCCCTACAAAAATAGATCCCAGACGCACCTGTGACGGCAGGTTATTATGCTTTATGATGATAATGGCCTGAGCCTGGGTCGTATATCTCAGCAGAGTTGGTGTTTACCACTTTGAGCACCGCCATGAGCTTTAACGAGGCGCACTGCCAAGCCACGAATCTTTCAGTTAATGTGACTACGGAGTCTTATGAGCTCAAAAAGGCTTTACAAGTCACGTGGAACGCAATATTTTGTCCACTGGGCCGCTCGTTGCGAATATAAGTTACTGTACGGAACAAAACCACGAAAGCTAACAAAACTAAAGTTTTTGAAACGCGAATTTTGCTAATGGGTCCCCCAAAACAAAATTACGCAGCTGGAAAATAATTTCGCAGTGGAGTTAAGTCCGACACTAAAAATAATACAATGCCAAAAGTTTAAGTTCCATTCTTGTTTGCAATTTGAAGAATTGGTAGCAGCTCAGCTGGAGTGCATGCGCCGGAATTAAAGGCCGCGGCTGCCGACTTCCTTGCCACTCTTCTGTTGAAAAATTGCGACGCCAGTAGCCGTATAAGTAGTAGTAGTATGATTGTTTGCTAGCGCTTCAGCTATCAAGCTATTTCTCACCGGAGGTCAAAATGTAACATCGCCAGCGAGGCGGAAGGTCTCAATTATTCAATATCTCAAATTAATCATCACCCACAAGGGGCGGAAGGTCTCGATTGCCAGCCCGGTGAAGCTGGCTCGAAAGAAGCAGCGTTAGCATCTCAAAGAGACGAAGTGACAAGGAGGGACAGGTGAAAAGCAACAGAAACGAAGACACTCGAACAATAGGTCGCTTACACGGGACGTCGGCCACCCGCACGAGAGAGACAGAAGGGAAATGTAAGGAATCTTGCCTACGTAATAACTTTACCCCACAACTGAGACCTACAGTCAGACACAGCGAGCTCAGCGGTGGGGCGCTCAGGAACAATCCCCCTAGGAGCGCGAAATCCCATAGGACTTGTCACTTCTGACGCGCACAGACACGCGTCAGAAGCCCCCCCTGAGGGGCAGTAGCCGTATAAAGAACTATTGAAAACATGCTGGTTTATTTAATTGTGGTGCGAGATATTGACTTATGAGGGCTTTACCTTGATATTAAATTCCTTTACTTAGCTATTGGCGGTGCAAATTGTAATATTTAGCGATGTCAGCATTGATTGACAGGTAAAAAATTATGCCGCCTATGCGAAGCAGTCATTTAAATTAAGGAATTGCTTATTCTTTATTTTACAATGACAATATGTTCGTTCAGACCGAAAGACACGTCGCCAATTCTTAAAGTCGCAGAATTTTCATAGCTTGTGGCAGGTCTCGAACATGCAACTAACTGCTGTAATATTTCTCTGCTTGGCCGCCACCGAGCGTCCTGTCACCTCGCCGATTTTGACCCGAAATGTCACAGGAAGCTGTAATGATCAGATCCACGACTCACAGCCTCAATCTTGGTACCCTAATATGTAAACACTGGGCCACCATGCCCTAATATTTTTCTTTTGTGACATTTCAATCTAATGTGAACTGAAGTGAGAACCTCTCGAACACTTAATTAGATAGAGACCAGCCGCAAGACCGGCAGCAAGTACGGCCGTAAAAGTGTCCAAGAGGCATTGAGAGAGAGAGAGTCGAACCTGATGGAAGCTTTGTCGTTTATGGTAACGGATGACAAACTGAAAAGTAATATTATTTCGTGTGTATAACCTATATGAGTGCGCTTTTGTAAATGTTGTAAAGTAAAATCAAACTGAGCTTGAATCTACTTCAGGTATGATCAAGATTTTTTATTTATTATTATTATTATATTCTACAAAGCAGTTATCGTGGCGTCTGGTTGAGACTAACTTCGAGAGCACGTTACACAAGTTTAAACGAGGTCCGCTTTTGATGACGAACGCAGTCGTCTAGTAGAAGGCAGATCCGTCTCGTGCTGCAGATATTCTTTGAGATAGGCGTCACAAAACCGTCGAGACATCGGAACGTCATAATGGCGACCTTGAACTGCGTGCGCTGCTGTATGCGTAGGCAGTGAAGATCGCGCAATATGGGCGTCACGTGGTTGAATTTTCGCTTATAGCCCCTTGCCTGTGCAGCAGCGCCCCTTGCTGGCTGCAGTTTATTAAGTACCGTGGTCGGAAGGCAATGGAGTGTGTCATTACCACAGTCCAATCTGGACTGTCGTCGTAGATCGCCAAAACAAGCGGTAGTGCCTTTGACAATGCGATTGTTCATAGAAAGTTCCAAGTCCTGCAGAATGCCCAGGTTTCGTTCCAAAGATGCAGGCATGACGAACTCCTTGCCCACGCGAACTGGGTTGGCCGGAAGCTGAAGCTGGTGCCGAGCAATCGTAAACCAAATAAAGGCAGTTTTTGATGCATTGAGGTTGGGCCGGTTGGAGCGCATCCAGTCTGAGACGGCATCCATGCAAACAGACATCCGGTCCTGCAAGGCTGCATCGTCACCTGGCGCAGGCGCACAAACATAAATTTGGGTGTTATCGGTGAAAATTTGAGGGTTTAAACTATGTGAATCAATTATGTGCAACACGTCCACAGTATATGACAGGAAAAGGATGTTGCCGAGGACTGATATACATAATGTGGGGTTGGATATTAGCAATGAACTATTTTTTAATGAAAAAACTCAACTAATTGCTTCACTTTTCCTTGAGGTTCATTATGACGATTATTATTTACAAACAGTGTAAAATGGGTAACAAAATATTTGTAAGCTTTGTAATAAAAGAGTTATGGTGAAGGAAATTTCAATTTCAGATGAAGATTTTTATTGATGTATTGATAAAAACAGCATAGATATTTAACAACAATTACTACCAGCTAAAGATAAATTAGCTGAAATTGGTCAAATGGTGAAGTCCCGCACCGAAACTCTGACAGTCCGTCACAGTCGGTGCACCGTGCAGAGTGACCAGCGTTGCCAGATGGTATATTTCTATACCAGATTTCACAAATCTGGCATTTTCAGATGGTGTCTGGTGTGAATATTTAGATATGGTATATATGCCTCAATCTGGTATTTCTTGACTTACTGCATTAAATTCCACCTCTGAAGTTTGAACTTCCTCCAACGTAGGCGTGGATTATATAGATTACCTTCAGAGCGGCGCGACTAGAGGTTTCCGTCATTTTTTGGAACCGCAAGTTTACCGCTTGATGAAAAAACCCCAATCTAATTGTTAACATTTAACCAAAGGGGCTTAGTGCAATATAAGCACGAGAGTGATAATCCTTGATTAATTACTGATCAGTGATGATATGGCCTAGGACGAGTGAGGTTGACGAACCGATCTCTGCGACGCAAGCTCCACCATTTTTGTATGGTGATTTTGAATTATAGTGTGCCACTTATTGGAGTGCCACTTGCATTCTGGGGTGCCATTCAATATTTCACTGATCTTGAACTGGCTTCCTATTGCATCACTCGTCTACTTTGACCTGTCTCCAATGCATTCGTGGAGCGAATGTTTTCACAAGTCACTTATGTGAAAAACAAGCAACGAAATAAATTTTAACTAAGGTACTGGAGTCCTTATTCGGACCAAAAGCTATCTGCTTAGCCGCAACAAGCGATCACACCCGAAATGTTAGATAAATGCAATATGCAAGCATGTACGAAAATAAGCAAAAGGAAGATGACCTCTTTCCGCGGCTTGCTCATGTTGAGCGAAGGGGAGGAGTGCGGCACTGATAAAAAACGGAAAACGTGACAATGTAATTAAACACAGGAAAATAAAAGTGTCAAAATAATCCAAACAGAGGGAAAAATATAACGTGTTAAATTTGGCTGATTATCGTCAAGTTAGATAAATGCACAGTACACAAGATACTTTTTTTTCTTTTTATAACCAACGTTGCTGACGAATAATTTCATTAGATTTGGCGGTAATAGTCTGCTTTTGAAGAATAGATTTTTTGGTATATTTCCGGTATTTTGAGCTAGGCAATCTGGTATCCTCGCCGAGAAAAGACCTGGCAACACTGCAGTGAGAACACTGCAGACTCAGTCTAACATCGGCTCTGAGAGTGACAGGTGTGGTGTGCGTGTGGCTAGTGCCTTGAAAAAGCTCATTGGCTACTGGTTTGATATCTATTGTCTGTGTCAAACAAAATGGTTATCAAAGTCTACGTTTCCTTGATATCTTGTAATCAAGAGGTAAGGCATTTTCTTTTTTATAATGTGATTTAAATCGTCCATCAGTACCATCACCGTTGCTGTGTTATACTTATAGTATAGAATAGAAGTGTCGTCACTGAAGAAATAGGCCCATGGCCTGTTGCCTATTCTTATTCTTTTCGTGACTTGATTCACAAGGGATCCGGCCTTTGTAACCTGATCTTTCCATGAATGACGATTGATTGAGAATTGAGATAGCTGCTGGACTTATTGCCTGGTCAGTAAGGTGCCAGCCTGCTAGGCATTTTAATTTAAGACTGAACATAGGCTATGCATCTGCATAGCTTTGTCTAGTCTGTTCTTGAAGACGTCTTAACTTTCAACTTTTAATTCCTACTATAACCTACTTTAATTCCTACTATAACCACGGCACCACCTACTTTAATTCCTACTATAACCACAGCACCACCTACTTAAATTAATTTAAGTATTAACTTTTAATTCCTACCTATACACGGTTACACCCTACAGTAGATTGAGTAGAAACTAGAAAGTATTGAGTAATATGGTTTCCTCAAGATTTTGTAAGCAAGAGGTAAGATTTTATTGACTTAAGATTGTGATTTAAATTGTCCATCCCTGTTGCAATGATCTAATTAAATTTTAACATGCTCAAGTTCTCAACACTGAACACTACAGTCTAGAGGTACAGTACTGAGTTACTCATTGTAATAAGTTACAAGTATTGTGCATAATAGAATAATTAGAAAATAAACTAGCCTAAAAATGTAATATTAAATATCTGTTGTGTGAGGCTGTGAGCTGTTGAAATTTTTAGGCAACTAGAATATTGGAAATTAGACACTGAAAAATCATGGTTAAAATATAAAAACTATTGTTATATTTGAAATTTTCAAAAATTGTAGGCAAAAATTAAAATTATGATGTCTTTTTATATATTGTTTATGAAATAAATTATGTAGGTAATAGCCATTAAACAGAAAATATGACTGCATGTGCAAGAATTGGTGTTTTTACCTCATTTATGGGTAGTGTCTGCCATCATGCATTTTAAGTTTTGAAATGACAATTAGTTATTTGGCTTGAAGTACTTTCAAATGGGGTAATAAATGGCGTGCAGGGTAAATTGGGACAGTTGCCTCACATTTCATAGAAATGTTGTAGCAGCTAAACTAATCAAAATATTGCAAAACTACAAATATTGGCATAAAATTCAACATTATTACTATTTATGCAGCATACGTAAAGTAAGTTAAGAAATCATACATTTACTACCTCTAAAAAATCCCTGAAAAAAAGTGTAAAAAGTGAGATTTTGGAAATGTACCTCTAACCTCTGCTGCTTAGGTCTGTAGCAAAAAAATATTTGCCATATCAAAAATATTTTACTTACATAAAAGTTGCACACAGGTGTTGGCTTAAAAACATGATTGCCAAATTCTCATATTTTATTCCAAATAAAAAAATAATGGTGGCCATTTCTGCAGGACAGGGTAACAAGGGACATCCCCCACGGTTATAAGGGACACCCCTAAAAATGCATTTACAGTAGAACCTTGATTAGCAAAGGCTCCAGTTAATGAAGAAATCAATTAACAACAAAAACTTTTGATTATGTTAACCTCACTCAGCTAAAAAAATTTTGCTTAATAAAAACTTGATGCATCATTGGTCATCACAAAATTATGCATAGATTGTCAAAGATAGAATTGTGCACTGGGCAACATAGAATGAAAAGTAATTAACCTAAACTGTGATTTAGCTCAAAACTGTCCCTTATTACCCTGTTTGATGGTACCTGAATCAGAACAGAATATTTTAGTGACAACCGAAATATTTTTTGGAAAAATTAATCACAGTTTAATTCAATTACTTTTCATTTTATGTTGCCCAGTGCACAATTCTATCTATGACATTCTGTGCACAATTTTATGATGCATTAATTTTTTGCCAAGTGAAATTTTTTTGGCTGAGTGAGGTAAATTTAATGAAAATTCTTTATTGTTGATAGATTTTTTTTCATTGACTGGATCCTTTGCTAACCAAGGTTCTACTGTGAATGCTTTCTCAGGGGTGTCTCTTATTACCCTAGGGCCCTTATTACATCGTCATGCAGAAATGGCCACAATTTATTTTTGGATTGAGGTAGGTACTGTACTAAAATTCTGGCAATGAAGTTTCAAACCCGACATCTGTCTGCAACTTTTTTTTTTCAAGTGAAATTTTTAATACAGCAAATATTTTTTTACCACAGACCATTGCAGAAGTACTTTTTCTAAATATCACCTTTTTACATATTTTTTTGGGAGTTTTTAGAGCTAGTAAATGTAGGATTTTTTATCTTCCTGTATGCTACATAGATAGGAAAAATGTTGGTTTATGCCATTATTTTTATGCGGTGTTATAGGACTGTCCCAATGGAAATAATGCTCATTAATGCATAAAAGTTCTCAAGTTTGTTAATTTTCTTGCCAAATTAAGTGGGTATTCCTGAAATGAAGCATACATTTTCTTTATTTTTTATTTTTTTTTCACTATCAAAGAAGATATTTTCTGTTATTTTTTTTAAATACCTTTACTCTCTGTACTCCTTGAATGGATTCACATTCCCTTAATAACTTTTTGTCATTTGATAATTATATGAAACTGGCTTTAAATGAGCAAAATTAATATTGGCTCAAAAAATTTGTGTCATACTCATTAACTGTTGTAGGTATTTATGACACAATGACAATGTATTTATGTCCTAATGATATTAATGTACTTTCATTTGTCACTGAAACTCTTGTTGCAAGAAATTGTAGAAAGTGCTTACCATTTGCACTGACAGTACCACCTGTACAAAAAAAAGCATGGGATCCTATGACTTGAGTATTTCCATACACTGGTATTGCTTTCACTATCAGATAGCTCTAGCAGTAATGCTTATCATTAGGAGTGGTGACACGATATTATTTCGGCAATTTTGCTTCAAACTGTAGCAGAGGAAAAAGGAAATGCAGTCAAATGCTCAGGAACAGAATGTTCCATAATTTAGTTCATTCTAATCGTCTTCAATATAACTTAAAATACGGGATAATTATTTTTGCAATAATAATAAAAATAGTAATAAAAAAACATTTAACCAAACGTTTTTCCATCACCACACGGTAAGAATTGTGGATTTTTTCCAGTGCTCATGAATGGTCAGAACCCGAACAAATAGGAACGCGTATAAATGAAAGCTGACCAAGAAGTGACTGAGCAGATGAGCTAGAGCAAGCAACCATCAGCCGCACGCACGTTTTTGATGCGCATTTCTGCACCAATAATTACTTATTTCGCGAGATTTTTTCTCTTTCTCTCCTTAAAAAATTGCACTCAAATGGCATCGCATTTGCACAGTTTATTCATATTTTAACAGCAGCGACAGATATGTTCGATCGTATTAGTTTTAAAAACTCACTTGACCAAATCTTAGGAAATTGCCCCCAAATGTGTGAGGTTAAGATACTCCAGCGCGTGCATCTCTCATCAACAGCGATATGCGCAAGTAAAAAATGCAACTCCTGCTACGTATGTATTAAGAGTTTCGAAATTGTGCTCACCACAACGAAAGAGCGACTCACTGTCGGTTATATTTTGCGGAGTTACCTTATTAGAATATTACGGGGAGAGAGGGTCGACATGCACGCAATGCTGCTGCCTTTCTGCTGCTACTGCTGCGCTGCTGCTGCTGCTACTGCTGAGTGATGCAGCTCCTAACCAAAGGTCAGCAGCTGCGGTCGTCATGCGTGCCCCCGCGTTAACGATGCTCTGTCTAGAATACAATGGACTTAAGGAATAAATAACGTACGACTCACTCATACTTTAGCCCCGTCGTCTGTTCGCTCTCTGCAGCGCTGCTTGCTTTCACGTCCCACCTGCTGCTCAGGACTCGGGCCGTTGCGACAGATGTTCTTACTTGGCTCTCCCTGGGACATTTCTTCTGTGGCGCCTTCTCATTTACTTTCCAATATAATTTTTGTCAGTTAGCATTTCCTGTGTTCCATCCTGATTGGCTTTCTCTAACTATTCCTCTTGGTTGACATTTTCTATTTTCTTTTTTACATTCGTCAATCCTTCCCTTTCATTGATATTGATTGATTTCCTCCATTAAACCTACATTAAAATATTGATGTCAGCCAATGAATAATGATGCAAATTTCCCTAATATTTCCCGACGCGTGATAGCTCGACCTGACAGCAATAATGGCCACTGAACTAACTTCCCTAAAATATATTATTATAGTTTTTTCCCTATTATTAATATTGGCCGTCATTTTTCTATTATTCCTTTTGTTGGAGCTCTTTCTACTTTTCTGTTCTTTATTTACCCGTAAGTTCCTTTTCACACTAAATTGACTTGCCTCCTATCTTCCCACTGAAGCGTGGGAAGATAGGAGACTATAACCATAATCCATTCGATAGGAGGCCATTCCATAATATCAATTAAATTGAAGTTCAACTTACCATGCCCCTGACGCGCATTCTTCTCTCATCGAACTCATCTTCCCCGAGCATTAAGTTGACCTTCATCTAGTTCGGACATCAAATTGCCCTTGCCCCGAACCGTGTCAGCAATTGGAACCCCTCTACCCCGATCAGAGTGCTGACCTTAACATTGAGCCCACCAAGTGAGCTGATGAGTTGACTGATGAATGTGCACGGAAGTATCCGCTATAATATGAGACACGTCTGCCACGGCCGCGGCGTTCTCTGCCAAGTTAGTTCTCAAGGTTACTTCACAGCACCAACCTTAAACGCGCTATTGCATGTACTGGACAATTTCATTTGAATTAGTTTATCTACACGCGACATTAGTTACGCGGGCTGTGTTCCTACAGATTACTTGTGCGTTATCATACCTCTTCGTTTTTAAGCAAGTCCCAGGATTTTAAACACACGTACATCGTAGATGGAATAAAGTAGATAAATGCGGGAGCAATTAATAAAGTAACTTCTTAGTTTGCATATTATTTTATGTGCTCCCTTTTAGATTATTAAGGGGCATATCGGATATGGTAACAGGCGTAATTTTACTAAGTAAGTGAAGCGCTAAGTGCACTGGGGTAAATAAGGGGGCGCGTACCGAAGCGCGTCGATGCTACGACACTATTATTGTTAGAAGCTGTGAGTAGTCGGGTTTGTATCCCGCAAGTAGAGCGAGTTTCGCGAACCTCTACTTCAAGACTCGCTCTGCTCTAGAGCGAGTCTTGCACAAATTCACTGCTTTAGAACAAGTCTAGCGTAACTCCTATGCTTTAGAGTTTAGACTTTAGAGCGAGTCTCGCGCAATTCCTATGCATTAGAGCGAGTCTCGCCCAATTCCTATGCTTTAGAGCGAGTCTCGCTCAATTCCTATGCATTAGAGCGAGTTTTACACAACTCCTGGCCCATTTGAGCAAGTGTGGCGTAGCTGCTGTTGTACAGCAAGCGATGCTGTTGGTTATGAATGTATGATACAGATGGCCTAGGTGGTAGGTATAGTACAAACCATAGTTATTAGTCGTGATGCGATCGCAGCCATCGTTGTTGCCTCCTTGGATCCGATCGTGGCCATCGTTGTCTGCTTTGATTAGATCGTGGCTATCGTAGCCAACCGTGATGCGATCGTTGCCAGCTGTTATGTGATCGTGGCTATGGTTGCCAGCCGTGATGCGATCGTGGCTATCGTTGCCAGCCGTGATGCGATCGTGGCTATCGTTGCCAGCCGTGATGCGATCGTGGCTATCGTTGCCAGCCGTGATGCGATCGTGGCTATCGTTGCCAGCCGTGATGCGATCGTGGCTATCGTTGCCAGCCGTGATGCGATCGTGGCTATCGTTGCCAGCCGTGATGCGATCGTGGCTATCGTTGCCAGCCGTGATGCGATCGTGGCTATCGTTGCCAGCCGTGATGCGATCGTGGCTATCGTTGCCAGCCGTGATGCGATAGTGGCTATCGTTGCCAGCCGTGATGCGATAGTGGCTATCGTTGCCAGCCGTGATGCGATCGTGGCTATCGTTGCCAGCCGTGATGCGATAGTGGCTATCGTTGCCAGCCGTGATGCGATCGTGGCTATCGTTGCCAGCCGTGATGCGATCGTGGCTATCGTTGCCAGCCGTGATGCGATCGTGGCTATCGTTGCCAGCCGTGATGCGATCGTGGCTATCGTTGCCAGCCGTGATGCGATCGTGGCTATCGTTGCCAGCCGTGATGCGATCGTGGCTATCGTTGCCAGCCGTGATGCGATCGTGGCTATCGTTGCCAGCCGTGATGCGATCGTGGCTATCGTTGCCAGCCGTGATGCGATCGTGGCTATCGTTGCCAGCCGTGATGCGATCGTGGCTATCGTTGCCAGCCGTGATGCGATCGTGGCTATCGTTGCCAGCCNGGCTGTGTCGTGGCTGTGTCGTGGCTGTGTCACGGCTGTGTCGTGGCTGTGTCACGGCTGTGTCGTGGCTGTGTCACGGCTGTGTCGTGGCTGTGTCACGGCTGTGTCACGGCTGTGTCGTGGCTGTGTCACGGCTGTGTCTAACGTCGTGGACGCGCGCGTCATGACGGCATCTAAACGATGCAGACCTCGGCATGCCAACTACGCTCCTGTTCCCCTCACCGCTCCTCCCTCCGTGCGACACTTGCCTTAATTCTTCCTCAAGTTCCTTTTTTTTCGTGTGTCCTAAACATAATAATCACCGCTGCTGCTCTTGTCGAACTGCGCGCCCTTCTGCTCTTCTCTATCTTGCCCCTTTTTTATTGCCGGCATAGAACTCTAATTTACCGGTCGCCAGCTATGAATATCATCACAAATATACTTGAAGATCGAGTAGTCAATTAAGTAATTGAATTTTATTCCCTGTAATTACGTTCATTCATATCATGCCACACCGAAGCATATCCCGCTGTTGAAGCACAGCGCAGTCATGCAGAGAAGTAGTGCGTGAAGAATATGTGCTCAGTATCTTGTACTCTTCCCGTGCGATGTGAAACAGCGCCTCTGAAGTATTGTTCATTGTGCACATACAGCTTCGCGTGTCTCACCGCTGTCACGCTCTCATTTGCTTGTGGTTTGTTTCCTGCTAACTCAGGCTAGACATGAATGCTCTCAGTCGAGGGTGATACGCCGAGCGAAAGTCCACGCGACAAGGAAAATATCTTTCCACGCGGATACGCATTGCACCAACCGACAGTTAATTTATCGTGCATTGCCTTGTTGGTGCGATTGGTATGAGGAAACGTTAAGTGCACGCGACATGATAAGAGCAGGTCGCTGTGCTGGTAAAGGAACGGCGAGCTGATTTATTAGTTAACAAGTGTTACGATAACAACTGGTACAAAAGTGTTACCTCACCAAAGTTGTTTCCTTTACAAAAAAGGTTTTCTAAATCATGTGGTGTATTGATTTCTGTTCAGGATAATTAATCTAAGTTATAATGCTGTGCACTTGGCTTAAAGTCTGTCGCCGCGTGTATTGCGAGTTTGTGTTACGCCATCGCAGCCTAATGCGAATGTCGAAATTCCAAGAGAAGAGATGCACGGACGGTAGAGAATCTCCTAACTTTCGCTCAGGATGCAGCGTCCTGACGCGCAGGATGTTGTTTGCAGCTGTAGTCTTCCCTTCTGTTCTTACATCAATGCACCTTTTGTTTTTAGCAATTTTCGTTAGTTTTTATCTCTCTAGCCGATGGTTTCTTATTGTAGTGGAGTTTTCACGCGTTTTGGTCCATTCGTGACCTCCATAACCCTATCTATTCTGACTCATGTTTAACTAGGCGATGTATATTACGGCTCTTCATTTGCTCACTTGGGATTGATATTCAACAAATATTGCGGGATGCTAAGTCACACTTGCACGCTTGCGTTCACATAACACAAACAATGATTGCGCATCGTTTGTCCATAATTTATCCATCTATTTAGCAACACTACACCAAACAATTTTATGAGTAAGATCTGGATTTACGACGATTTAACATTGCTTATGCTGACCTTATGCCGTTTTATTTCCCTCCCTGCCATTATTGCCTCGCGTTGCTACATGTTCCCCGAGTCCTAATGAGAGTTCGTTTACGTGCAGATCAAGAAGAACCAGCAGCGCACCATCATGATCCTGGAGAGCAAAAACATCCCGTACGTTGCCATCGACATCACGGATCCCAGTCAAGAGGAGGCGAAGGAGTACATGACAACCACAGCCGTGCCTAAACCCAACGCTAAAGTCCCTGTCACGCCGCAAATATTCAACGAGGCTGACTATTGCGGGGTGAGGTGCTGTCTGGGGTGAGGTGCTGTCTGGGGTGAGGTGCTGTCGGGGGTGAGGTGCTGTCTGGAGTGAGGTGCTGTCTGGGGTGAGGTGCTGTCTGGGGTGAGGTGCTGTCTGGGGTGAGGTGCTGTCTGGGGTGAGGTGCTGTCTGGGGTGAGGTGCTAGTGCTGTCTGGAGTGAGGTGCTGTCTGGAGTGAGGTGCTGTCTGGAGTGAGGTGCTGTCTGGGGCAGGGTTGCACTGGGGACCTGTCCCGGGAACTGCCCACCCACACACCCGAGCTGGGTTTTTTATTGCAAAAAAATCCTACGATTGTGAAGTCAAAAGTGGGTTTTAAATAAGTGATAAGTGGAGTGATGTTTGAGGTAAGGTGCTGTCTGGGGCGAGGTGTCGTTTGGGTCATTTTGCTCAATTTTATTCGCTTGATGTGCCATCTGAGGTGGAATTTGCTACCGTGAAGGATAAAATGCCGTTTGTGTAGGATTGGAGTGATCGCTGCGTTCTTGTGTTGTTAACTTCAGTCTGGAGCAATGTGTTGCGTTCTTATGTGGTAAGATTACGTCTGGGGTAATTGGCTACGATTTTTAATTGGAGCTTTACCTATGTGTGACGTACAGTAACTCCCTGTGTGTCGTGTGTGCTGTCTTGTTGGCCACAAGAGACAAAGGGGAAAAACTCTTCTTTGATTGGTAAAAAAGCATTGGGAGAATTTAGACTTTTAACAGACTTTCACTTTTTACCAGCATCTTTCCTTCCCAATTCAACAATAGCCGCAGGCGCCAGATTCAGCCCTACTTTAAAATGTGACCAATTTCGTATATGTGCAGGACTTTGATCAACTAGATATGGCCAACGAATGCGACACCCTGGGGGATTTTCTGAAGCTGTCAGAAGATGAGAAGAAATTGATTAAGATCGGCATCACGGGCATCTTGCCCGAAGACCGCAAGAAGGCCCAGGAGCGACAGAAGGAAGACCCGGCACCGCTAGCGAACGGCGTGCCGGCTAGAGAGGTGGGGGCGTGTTAGACCTCACCGCCCACCTCCGCTCTGCTCGGGGCTGCATACTTTTCTTCGCTCTTAATTCTGTTTAGCGAGGGAATTAAAGCTTGTAGGAGGATCTGCCGTAATTGAGAACGCTTATCTAAAGCAAATACCGAGATTTTAATTTGTTGACGGCTATTAGTGCGAGTGGGATGGGAATTCTTACCATATGGGATCCAGATGGTAATTCTCGCTCGCTAGTGTCGTGCTAGCTCGATCTTTGGATTTATTAATTTCAAGCGAAGAATGACTTCCATTGACAATTTTGAAACTAAATTGAAGCTCTTTGGTTAATATCGAGCTCCAAAAATATTTGGCGTATTTCATGTTGGTTTGGGGTATTCCATTATGCAATTAAAGTACTCTTATCGAGATAAGATGTGGTTGTCGGACTGCGACGTGTTGATAAGTTATCTCGCGATAACAGACCTTTCAAATTATTGTATCGTTCAAAAATTCACACAAATTTCGGTCGCAATCTTATGCTCAAAGAAAGGATTCACTTAATTACGTCTCTAGATTAGCTCCGTCTCTTGAATATTGACTTGCATGATCTCCAGTGATCTAAGCGCTTGGATTCTTACATTCAGTTTTAGGAGCTTGACTCTGCAATGGCATATCTTATCTGCTATGGCATATTCTGAGTATGAAATTTCCTCAATTACGGTACTGGTTTTTTGAACTTACTGTGATTTTCCTGACTTGCTTAAACTAGTCTGATCTTGGCTTTATAACTGCAGGAGTGCAGGTATTATTTGAATTCGTGAATCTTCAACGGGAGCGAACTTCCTAGGTTAGGGAACAAATCCATAGTCGTCTTGGGCAAACAGTTCAGCGATACCAGCTCGGTCACTTTCCCCATTCCGTGCTTCTGAATGCCTTGCCTTATAATGCTTGTGAAAACATCATACATTCCAACATTCGTTGTCTACTAGAGTTTTGCCTCTATAGGAATTTTCTAAGAAACGTTACGTCTAACGCTATATTCAGAAGTTTACACTGTCCAGTATTCCACTATTACGTTAATTCCATGAAATTATAAAGCATGGAGGTGATTTGTCTTCAGCTTAGCGATAAACAACACACCTCCTGCGCGTCATTCATGCTTTACTCCCTTTCCTCTTATTAAGGTCTGTTACTTATTAGTTTTTAAAATAGACGTATGAGATGACTGGTAATGTCCCGCTAATATTCGACAGTATGTTAGTTCAATCAAGTCTTCATCGTGGATTAAAGCTCATTTTATTACTCGCTTCTTTCCATTGGATGGCGTGTCAGAAGTTCTGTTGCTGGCCTCCAAGCTCGCAAGTTTTGTACTCGTGACTTGTGCATGCAGGAGACACAGTTCGTCTTCAGATAGATTTTCAACTCAAAGTTGTATTCCAGATTTTGTTTTGTGTCTTCCCCATTCTGGACTGTTCCTAGAAACACATTTTCTTTCTGTACTTTTAACTTTGAGCGTTGAATGATGAGCAAGCGATCAGCCTATCAGCTCACCTTATGACTTGTGCTGCCGCCGCTCATGTCAGCGTGAACCCAAAGTATGCTTCTGCCGGCAAAATATTCGACATCAGTAACTCCTAGCTTCATCATTAAGCTCATCATTCCCGAGACGATATTGCTCTCCTCATTGCGACGCGTTTATTCTCTTCGGTGCTTTATTTCTATTAGCAATGTCGTTGCTTTGCGCATCTTTCTAGTATAAGTTTCCGTGCAATTTTAATAATTATAAGTAAGCTTCTGTTTCATATCTTTATTTATAAAGAACATGTTTATTTTTGTATAATTTTCTCATATTTTCTAAGAAATAGCGCTTTGAGTGATTTTCAGAAACTGCCTCTGTTAGCAATTACTCGGCCATCTCCTTCCATCGAAAAGTTCAAATCTTACGAGGCCAAAAAAAATGTCTGTGTGTACCTATTCATTTAACTTCCTGTGTTTGCGTGTGTGTTTCATTGTATTATTATGACATTTTAAATCCTGGGATCCAGATAATTATCAATCGATTGTTTTACCGTAGCTTTATGTTCATCGTACTTACAGAGTATTTGTCAGCATGTAATTTCTTATTGAATGCTTCTGCGGTTGCTGAATGCTATTGACTGCATCACAATATATTACGAAGCTTGTCCTGAACTAAAGTTGCTCAGCTCAGTGCTACGATTAACCTAACCCAACCTTCTCTCTTTTACTACTTGTACGTGAGCCACAACAATGTATCAGTGGATTGATTAATAAATGACGTCTTGATGAGATCATCTGTGAGCTTATTCGCCACTAACCTTGAAATGCTTGTGCCGTTCTATTCCCCTCTTTGTCGAATGGCTCGCATGAGCTTATATTCCTTTTAATACCTGAACTCCTGCTTGCCATACTGACTCCAAATGTCCTTTTGTTACGCACAGAAGACTGAAACTAGCCGAATTCATCAATAGATATAATGGAGTAGTAAATCTGTAATGTTATTTTCAATATTCAGCCTTCCTGTTAGATATACTCGTGCAGTGAAAGTACCTACATTATATATTGTACTCGTGTACTAAAAGTATAGAAAAATATACTCCCAATACTATATTCATAAAGTAAAGGAGTGCAGTACTTCTATCTTTCTTTATTATTATATTTTTTATTGCTCATTTTTTCCCTTCGCGTAAATGCTCATTTAAAAGATGCCAGGACTTGGGGCGCTGTTGCTCGCAGAAAGGCAATTGCCATATATAACCCTGATTGTCCCTAGCATGAAGAACAGTTGTGGCGTTCGAGTGAATTGTTGCGATTAACACACCGTTGATGTCTAACTAACACGTCCTAAATAAGGTGAGCTTAGCATTAACATTCAATCCTTATCCTTAACATGCTTCAGCCCTTGCATTTCATGTCAGCTAGTCAGGAAGAAACGCGTATTCTGTCAAAAAAATTGTTCCGTGCAATAACCTCCCTGTTATTGTAAAGCCACATTGACCAATTTTATTTCATTCTTTCTTAGCTGATGTACTAACATATTTTTATAAAAAATTATAGTTAAGATAAGCAATACTGCATCGTCTTAAGCTCGAGAGATAAAGTTCGCATTGTTATCAGTGCTGTCGTCTGCCCTAGAGTTCGGTGGAGAAGAACGGGGATTTGGCCGCTGCACCGGAAGAGGCGGCAGTGGAGGAGGCCAGCAGTCCGGCCACTGAGGAGGCTCCTCAGAGCAGTGACGCCCCAAGCGAGGAACCCGTGCCTCCTGAAGCCGAGGTGCTCTCCGCTCAAGAGGTGGATCGCATAGAACAATTTTAACAATTTTTTTTACTTAATTCGCTTAGATCTCAAAGCAGCGAAAGCATGATGATGCTGCCAAAAGTACGTGCAATATTCAATAAAGCTATCGATGGATCAAGCATAACATCGCTGCCCAAGTTGGGTTTATGGTCCTATATTAAACTTAGTATTTACTTTTAATTAACAGAAAGCAACTCAAAATTATTCTGAAATATTAGTTCGTGGCGTGTATGTTTCCTAATGGACGAAAGCATAAGATTCTGGATGATTTTAAACTGCAACTGTATTGAATGCTTTGAATTATAGAGGATCTGCAGGACCATTTAGCATCACCCGGTCGTTTATTTGAGTCTCGCATAAAATTGATTGCAATTTGCTTCAATGATGAAATTTTTGCTGTTATTGTTCAGCTTCACTTTGACAAGTTCTTTTTAGCTATTCTCATCGATGATATTGCAATCCTGTGAGAGCATTCAGTGGCGATGTGATTTCGACATTTTGGTTATCACGTTTTCACAAAGCACGTTTTTGGTTCAACTCCTGATTTCCCTGAAACAGTTCGTCTCGCAAATGGCTTAAAGAAAAAAATAAAAATAAATGTTCAGGAATTTTTGCCTAAATAGGATTTATTATTAACAGAGCGTGACAACGGAAGCCTCAGTCGAACCTCCTGAGGCAGCCCCAACTGAAACTGCACCGACTCCAGATGCAGCTCCAGTGTCAGCAGTTCAAGAAGGTGACTAAGCCTTTGTGAAGCATTAACGCAATAATGGACAAATAATTTTTTTTTTCACACCACCCGTGTCATTCCTTCGAAGTGGTAAAAATTCCACTGGTCACCGCTCTTCCGATGGCGGTGGGAAGTTTCCCGCTGTCGTGCTGATTTTTTCCCCCAAATTGTTTTCTATTAACTTTTGTCTTAAGCATGAAACCTTCATTTTTCCAGCAATGAAAATTTTTTTGAACTACCTTTCTTTTTCTGACACCCGTGCGCGTTTTATTAATTTTAATGTTTCGAAATTTTTAACTTCGCTCTGTTTATCCGAACCTTGTTTAAAAAGATCAACTTTTTGGATAAAGAATTTTTTGAGTGACCCTCCCTGCCCTGACAGAAGAAGAGGAAGAGGCTGGGGACGCTACCGAGGAAGAGAGACCAGAGGCCGAGTGATCGTCAAAGCGCCAATTACGTGACTATTTTTATTGAATGGTAAATACCTCCAACGTTTCAGTGCGTTCATTTTAACGTCCTTTAAGCTAACTCATTTTATTTCGCTGTTTTGGTACATAATATCTCAGAATAAAGGATACTATATTTTCAGTATATTGTGATAAAGTCCGTCTCAAAGGCCCTACATTGTTCGGCTCGCATTGCCTTGAGCTTGGAACCGATTGAGCTTATATTGCATAACAAAATTTCTGGCTAACTTATCACTTTGATCTAATTTAAGCATATCAGATCAACTCACGTCACTCTGGTGTAATCCAGCGACCAACTCTTATCACATTGATTTAATCCAAGCTGTTGTTTTTCTGTTGCAGACGATCTTTCATCGGACACTGAAACAGACTCGGAGTGATGCGTGATCGACGAGATTCTTCACTACGAGATCTTTTTCACATATTTAAATGAAATGTCTTTCCGTGTCATAGTTTTGGGAACGAATCAACTTAGGGGGTTTTATACATGTCATTTCATAATTGAGAGCAGCAGCACCATGACATACTGAACTAAATGTCCCCTAGTGATGTATTCACTAATTAGCTTCGTTGTTATTATTTAATTTGTCAAGTCGAATTCAGGCGAGTCTATGCATTTTGTTGTGGTTAAGCGCTGTTCATATTGACGCCGGTCAATTAAAATAATGCTGCTCATTTAACATCCGTAATCCCGAGTGCCTTCAGATCTCACCTATCTACTCTCGCACGCCTCACAACTACCGGCTACGGCCATGCTTTGAACACCCATCTTACCCGCATGCGCTCATTGACTATGCTAGTGAATCGCCGGTAGTTTTGATTCAAAACACACACGCTTCTCGTGTTTCAAAGTTCAAATAACATGCAAGAAAATTTAATTGGGTAAAACTCGGGTACCGGCACCTTATACGAGCTTACCATGCAATTCACAACGCGTAGGTAATAAACGGCAAACCTTCGCTGTGGCGATTGCTAAACTTGGGGTGGCGTTAAGTTTAGCGGAGTCGTTGAGTAGTGCGGTGCGTCACTCGTTCCTGAGCCATACTAAATACTTCAGAACGCGATGATTAAGCACAATTATTGGAAGTATATTTGTTTGCCTCCTCTCTTAGGACTAAATCGTTTGATGAAGTGGAAGCATCGTACAAAGCAAGCGAAGCAATTTGTTCTAGCGTGACGACTGAGCAAACGGCTGTGCCGCGCTTTTTGTGGGTCTCTGTAATTTGTAGATGACTTTCTATTTGCCGAGTTAGCTTAATTTATTAGCAGTGCCAATAGGAGGACCGAACCTGTGATGTAAAGCCTCGTACTGCTCAATCTAAGTTCTCGCTGGCGCTGAGTGACTCAGTACGGGACTATATTTTCCTTGGCCTCATTTTTCCGGTACTTTTCTCTTAAGTCGACCGGGACGACCAGACTCGAAGAGAAATCTATTCCGAGAAAAATGAGTCTTAATTTATATTATGACGCTTAGTATTGATAGTTATTAAATCCAGCGATGTTGAACTCGTTCGACAAATCGAATGTCTGGAAGAAGCGTCATCAACGTCAAGCGAGCCGCCCTGCAGTTCTACTCAGTAACGTTGGTATTTCCTTGAAAACTTTAAACTAAGGAAAATGTTTTAAAACTTGACAACTAAAGGCAATGAAGCCATGAATGATATCTATAAGTTTTTGTCTTCTAATTGTCCTCTGTCTTAAACTTGTTAATTCGAATAAATTCATTGAAAAAACCTGCAATATTGCTTAATTCCAATTACGAACAAGATGAGTAAAATATGTGGTCATATTCGGCTTCGTAAGTGAAGGAAACAAATGGCCTGACACATAGTTTTCAAAACCCATCATATTCATATTATGTAGCGCTGTAAATAAAAACCAATAAATTCACTGAGGTAGTCATACACGTAGAATAATTCACTATTTTTTTCTAATGTAAGGAAACTTATAAACAGGAGCAGACGTTTCTGTGCCTTTCTTCTCCAACTTTGGATCTGGTAACTTGAAGTTACTTTTGCTCTTGTAGTGCTGGTATTTCTGAAACATAAGAAGCGAATGAAGGCGGGGGTGAATTCACACGAGCATCTCACCATCAGCTGGAGTTTGGACTCAAGTTTCTGTTGCAGGAGGCAGAGTTTGGCGTCGCGCTCCAGCCGCTTGCAGAGCTCCTTGTAGGACTTGGCCTTACTTGACGACGCCGCCTGCAAGCCACCGCACCACGGTTAACGTTATCCATCAACATCATGATCCAGGTTAAAATAATTAATACTATATCAGAAACAAAACTACAACATCATCGCTCCATTTTATTCTCTTTGGCTAGTGAGGTGAGAAATTAGTCAAATTGGGGAAAAATAAAACAAATTTATCATTCGTATTATTCTACTCAAACATTTACACGAGACTTGGTCATTAATAAGTCTTTAATTAAGAAAACAAGGAAATCGGATTAAGTAAGAGATGCAGAAGGCAACACTAACAAAGACTGGTAGATATTGTGATGAGTAAAATGGACCAGAAGAGTAATTAGACCCAAAAGGAAGCAGGAAAAAAGATAGTTTACCTTGAGATCTGTCTTCTGGTAGGTCTGGGCCTGCGGCATGCGCTGGAGCTGGTCGAGTGTGAGGCGGTTGAAGCGGCGGCTCATGAGGTCAGGATGTGTGTTGAGGAGTTCGGCGGCGCTGCGACCAGCTGCACGACACACAAGCAGATACAATAATAATAATGGTTTCAATAGCAAAAGCATTGACTAATTTAATGGACGTAGTTGTGTATTACAATATCACAAACGTGCAATAAATGAAGGTTACAGTATTCATACTTGTATACAAGTGATGCTTGTAACCACAAGTAGCGTTCAACACTAAAAAATATAACTCAGTACTCACTGCAGTGAGTGACAGAGCGCGCATTTTCTCGTCGACAAAAACGTGAAGTCACAGACAGACAGACAGACAGACGGACATGACGAGCACAATAGGGCATTTTTTCCATAAATGAGAAAATGTGGTGAAAATAAGTGTACTTTTATTTATGCAATAGACATTGTACCCTGGGCGCCCAAAGCGGATCAACTAAACATTAACGTTTCAAATATAAAAATCAAAATCTTTGCAGAAATACAATTTTTACCCTTAAATGTTGCTGAACAAAGCATACATACGTTAAATAAAAAAATATAAAATTATGTCTATAAAAACGAATTTAAAGGATCATGTTTCTCATTTTCAACAAGCATGAGTTCGGAGACACATTCAGAACTAGTATGGGGCACATGTGTTGCATTTTTTTTTTGCTAGTGTGGCTTTATACCAGTAATCAGGACCAAGCTTTTACGTCTCATTCACAGAAGAGTGAAAAAATAATATTATTGAAACAATACATCGGATTCTGAGTGAACTGCTTGCAACAAGATGCTGTAGGTAAACTCAGACGTGCCTTCTTCCTCAGTATCAACGAAGAGTAAATGAGTGTTCTGGGTGTCCGGCTCCTCATCGGTGCTGGGCTCCAAGAAGTGAAGAGTTGCACGCAACTTGTCAATTTTCTTGCACTCCATACTCCTGCAACAACATAAATATCTTACTCTGCATTTAAAACAAGGTACACCAATCCCAAAATATTGTTATTTTACAATCTATTCTGCAGACAATTTATAAAGATTGTGTCACATTCAAAAAGAACTACTACCGTATGTGAAGCATAAGCTAAATTGAAGAAAGGGATAGAACTTTCAAGGAATTATTTTTTAATTAAACACCATTGTTAACACGTTGACTATGTATTGGTACATATGCGTACCACAAAATGTATTTCTCCAGGAGGTAGTGGTAGGTACATAATTCAGGTTGCCTAAAATCGGCCAAATCCGAGAACAAAAAGGCCAAAAAAGGCCGATAATTCAATGTATATTAGTTTATTTGTAGGTTCCGCTATAAAAATTCCATATATTTTCTTTTTGCAGTATTTAAAATTTAATTAGGAAGTACCCCCTATATATCATAAATTTTAGCCGGCCAACGCAATTGGGAAGAACTGAATCACGGAATTTGTCCAGAAAAAATGACCGTCTGGCAACTCTGCTTAAAAAAAGTACAAAAAATGAAATAATTGTACAAGATGAAACAATCGTAGTCAACGTGTTAAGGCAAACTGAACAAATTAAACAGAGAGGACAATTTGTTATGAAAATATTATTAAATTACCGGTATTTCAACTTGAATGTAAACTGCTACTTGCAATTCGAATCATGCCTATAGAAGTTCACATGCATCCAGCATGTTTATGAAAAGATCTTTAAAAACATAATTTTTTATAACAATTTAAAATTCAGAGAAGTCAATAAATGAATTATTGAAGCCACCAATAACATTATCAATTTATGCATTTTCAAAATTAAAAATAAATTTCTGCATCCTTGAAAGAAAATCAACACCTGCAACAATCAATTTAATGCATTTCCTAAATTCAAATTAACTTTCTGCATCCTTGAAAGAAAATTGACACCGGCAACATAATCAATTTAATGTCTTTCCTAAATTCAAATTAAATTTCTGCATCCTTGAACGAAAATTGACACCTGCAGCAAAGCTCACCTTCTAAATTTAACATATGTCAGGTCAGCCAAGACATCCTTGCAGGTCAACTCCTTGATGATTACTTTCTCTTTGAATTTCCAAAATTCAAATTAAATTTCTGCATCCACAAAAGAACATAGACACCTGCAACATAATCAATTTAATGCATTTCCAAAATTCAAATTAAATTTCTGCATCCTTGAAAGAAAATTGACACCTGCAGCAAAGCTCACCTTCTAAATTTAACATATGTCAGGTCAGCCAAGACATCCTTGCAGGTCAACTCCTTGACGATTACTTTTTCTTTGTGTAAGCCATTCTGCAAAACAGGGTAATTCCATTATTACACATACAGAAAACAAAACAATTCAAACAATGACTCAGGAGTGAGTTCTCTATGAGCACCTACATTATAGGTGTACCATCTAAACATAAACATTTGCTGACATTTTCCATAGTAATTTCTTATCAAAATTCTGCATAACCCTGAATGGAGAGTAAAATTTGCAAGGGTTAATGATAAATTATTTTCTGAGCATTTACATTACCTCAGTCACTAGCAAGCAACAATTATTAATAGAAACTTGGACCTATTTTTGGGCATCACCAATGCTCCAGCAAAAATGAAAACAATGCTATTACATTTTCTTTGAATTATAATAATACATTTTAACAATCAATCAAAAATTTCAACATTTGCTGCATTCATTACAACAAAATAAAATAAAATAATTTTCACATTTCCGTGGCACTCATATGGAGTGAATGGAGCTTACTTCAGTTTGACTGTTGATCATGTGGAAGTAAAACTCATCAGGATTCTTCTCTAAAGCCCTCTTGTGCAGCTTCTTCAGTAGTTTCTTTTTTGCAGACTGATCTCTGCAAGAATACAATTAATGGGTTACTCCAGTTCATCTGGAAAGTCAAACTCAAACTTACTACCGGTACCTACTCAAGTAGAGTCAATAATTTCTATAAAACAACATAATAATCTTTTTTATTATTCCACATGCATGATGGAGCTGTCAAGGATTTTGAAAAAAAATACTCCTAAGAAAATATGCCAAGTTGAAAAAGGATGACTGGAAAATTTGTTCAATATAAATATAAAAAGAAAATGCAATTTTTAATTTAGATTATTGAAAAAAATTTTATCACCAAGAAATTTTTAGGAAGATGAGTAGCAAATAAATGTAATGTTATAATACGTATATACAGGTACCTACCATACATATAGGTAATCAGAATATCAGATTCTAGGTCATTTAGCAATTAAGTAAATGGAACACATTTTAAGAGAAAATTCTATTGATTCACACACAGGAATGTCCTGTATAGTACACAAAGTGTTGAATGTTAGCAATTTGAATAAGAATATAAAGGAGTCCAATGAATTTGATACTGCAGTTTCATAATGTGTGATCAATGAATAAATTTCTAAGCAACTATAAATTGTTCAGGGTGAATGACATCAAAATATTCCATTAACCCATAATATTATTTAACAAGCTATGCATAACTCTAAAGGAATAATTTTTGAACCGTATTTTCTAAGAAACACAGGTTCAAGGCACTTACGCAGCTCGCACTTTGTAGTCTTTCTTCTTTTCAAGAGGACCAAGGTGAGCTCGAGCTTCATTTTGGTGTCTCTCTCTGTGAACTTTTTGAGTTTTCATAGCATTCTTAAAAGATGACATGGCTGACGGCAGTAATGGTTAACTCTTATTACAAACCAGTAAAAAGTAGCCACTATTGATTATTTTTTGGAGATTTTAACACAATATCATGCACACAAAGCATCTATTTAACTTTCTGAAAAATGAGATATAGTGGACACAAATTAAATTGAAAAATTAAATATAGTGGACACAAATTAAATTGAAAAATTAAATATAGTGGACACAAATTAAATTGGAGTTCATCTCTCAGGCAGAGAGATTATGCACCACATGCTAACAATGTTCTTAAGTCCAGTGTAACCAGATTGAGTGGGTAAGATACTAAGTTAGGGTTCGTTTTGTTCACTTAAACCAAGATCGGGCTTTAGTGCATTGTATAAAAATACTTGAACCAATATCACTCACTGATTTTGTCTTGTTTGAAATTGCTTTCATTGCCAGAAACTAAAAAAAGAAACAAGTCAGCATTGGCAAATGCATCACAACATTTTTGTTTCACAAAAGTCTGCTGGCTTCCATAGGTAGTCAATGATCAGCTGGCTCTGGCCTAAGCATTTGACTCATCTGCTAAGACTGGATGTGTCCCTCATCAAGAACTTTGAGCATCGTAATAATGATAGTCCCTTGAGATACTTGAATCTTTGAACGACATTTAAATAGAGTTAAAATTTGCATTCTGCAAAAACTGATGCTGATCTTTATAGAAAAATATATCATCTATCATATTTTACCCTTTGTTAAATGTAACTCCTTTTCAAGGTTTATAGGGTAAACGCGGTATATTCCGACATCATGGGTACCTAATTCTGACACCTCTCTAGTTTTTCCTTTATATTAAGCTTTGTTTTAGTTCCATGCATTTGTTGATGGTTGAAATAGTGACATCATACATTTGCGCATCAAACTACTGCCAAAACACTAGGTCTGGGCCATCTAGCGGAAAAATGTCGAGATCCAAAGAGAGACGGTGCATGCTACCAAATGAGATCATCAAAAAATGTGTCAAAGTTGACAGTTGACCTTGCTCTACCAAATAGTGATAAACTGTTTGTGTAGAAAGAATATTATGGTTTGAGACTTTTAAATACGTCTGTGAATATATTAGGAATCCTTTAAGTATACTTGTATTTGCTGATTTCAAGTGGTAAATAAATTAATAGATGATTAAGTTGAGAAATGCATTTAGACACATAAAAACTAATTCCGACACAACTTGAATTGGACACACACAGCTCGTTTCAAGCTGTGTGCAAAAATTAACATTTTCTTAATTAAAAGCTTAATAACTGTTAATTGAAAGCCTAATTAAGTAGTGCTCAATATTCAATAGTGTTCTAATTTAAAGCCATGTCGTATTCCAATACAGCTCACACAGCGATCGGAATTTGAACACGTGGATGTTGGAATTGCGTATTAGTACAATTTAAAGCGCGGTCGGAATACGTCTCACCACGTGCTGAATATAGTCACACAGTGTCAGAATATAGGGATTTGGTAGGTTTGCATTCTAAAGGCTTTTAAATAAATATGGCAACATTTTGTGATGTTTCATCATTGCTGGCTTGTAGTATGGTGTTTTGAGAGTCACGTAAAGCAAACAGAACTCGAGTAACGCATACGGTTATTTTTTTTATAGTTTTTCATTTCTCGATGCGTTCTTAATGCAGGATGGAATTCTAAATTCGAAGGTTCATATATTATTTCGATCCACCAAGACCACTTTTTCTACCCAACATCATTATTTGAGGCAAAAAATTAGCTTCTTAAAGGCTTAAAACATGTACGCTAACTTGCTCAGTTTCTATAAAGTGCCTAATCACTTGGAAGTTGCATGCCTGCACCTTTCACTCAACAATTAAAATTAGACTTACAAAAAGTATTAGTTAGTTGAAAATTTGTCTCTTAAGTTGACCGCAATGAACTAAACATCATTAAGTAATTATAACTACGCTGCAAAGCAGTCATGCACACTAAACACGCAATTCAGAGTTCAGACGAGCAGAACTACATATCACATGGGCTACCATGCTACTGAATTAAATACCTAGCTTCTTTCCCGCATCCCACTCCCTGCATAATCTAGCGGGATGATCAATGCGGACGGTAACCGAGCCCGACTAATAATTCGTACACTTAGTGCAATAGAATGAATAATTATGTTGTTTTAGATCCAACGAACAAAAATAAACTTTTTGAAGATGATTCTGAAATCCTAACATTTATTGAATTCTAATACGGATCATTAATTATAGCATTGTATTTCCAAAAATCAAGTATTGCATTTCTTTTAATTGAAAAACATTCTTTTACATCAAAAACAACAAATTTTTTCTTACAGCTCCTCATGAATGACGAATGAATGCTCCTCATATTGACGAATAACGATCTCACTCTGTCACTCATATAGCTAAAAATTTTAAATTGAACGATTTTGTCATTTCAAAGACTCCACTGATTACAGAGCTTTAGTTTTCGCAAGTGTATTCAAGAAAAGTTTCTGAAATAGTGGGAACATTTCCATTATCATTATGAAATAGAAGCATCATTTCCGTTCTTATATATAAACAGGATTAATAAAATACCTATCAAATCCATCCAATGTCATTCAATTTGTGATGTATGAACGACAGTTTTACTTTCATTCCTATGATGCTCATTTTTACTGGTTTAAGCTGTAGAATTAAATTAAATTTAAAAATTAATTGAAATTAAATTTTACTAAATCAAATTTAAATATTTAATACACTAGATGGTTCATGCTGTAGAATTAAATTCTATTAGAAAAATGTTAAATTAAAAATCTGATTATATTTTTTTAATTCAAAATTAATTTTTATTAAATTATATTGTATTATTAATGCACTATATGGTACATGCTCAAGTTTTTATATAATGAAATAGTTTCCCATTTTAAACAACAAACATTTTCTAAAAGACACAAAACGTTCAAAAACGCGTCATGGCAGACAAAATCATTCAGAATTTGAAGTGAATTTATTACGATAAATTCAACATAATAAGGCGAAAAATGGAAAAAATTCAAATCTGGAACGTATAAATGGGTTTTTGAAATTAAAAAAACTTTCTATCATTTAAATCTCAGAATGGAATGTGAATCAAATCTATTTATTGTGAAATCAAATTAGACACAAACAAAACAAAAGTGTGTGACGCCGTCTTGTAATACATAAACATAGCAACACGATGTGAATGTACGCAGTGAAACAGTGGCAGTTTATCACATAATTTTGTGTGATATCAAAAACTTTGTTGGTATTGTCCAATCGTGAGAATTTTTTACGAATGTGGATGTGTCTTTTTTAAATTTAGAACGTATTCATTGCAAAAATGTGTCAGCTAGCCTACAGATAAACGACTAGTTAACTTGACTAGGCGTTGGCAACACAGGATTGGATTTCAAACCACGCGCGATTTCGGAAACAATCAATTTTCATTGCAGTGGAAGGTGGTGTAATGCGGTGGTAGGGTTGGTTTTTTGATGTGTTTTCTTATATTGACATGAGAATATATTACCTATACAGAATTCCACACTGCAGGCTTAAGGCTAGTATAGACAACCGCCAGGTCCTGGACAGGTTCCTAAGGAGTTCTTCACTAATTAGGCGGAACTTTACTTCACTCCTAAATGAGATGACGATCTAAAATTTTCCATTCTTTTCTAGGTATTTATTTACAATCCGTGTAAAGGAACAAAAAATATGTAATCTTTGTATAACACCAGTTATGATAGAAAATAATTTTTTACCTCGATGTTAATTAAACCCGCGTCTTACCAAAATTTTTGAGACGCAAACGTGTAGTACTATTTATTCTCTATCTGATGTTACTAAATAAATGTCAGAATCAACATCCATTTTGTAAATATTCATGGCCAAAAAATGTTTTCATCACTGCTAAACAAGAGTTTTCACATTTTCATTGGATGCTAGCGCTGAGCACGTTGAACGTGTCGTACGCTCATAAATCTCTGGCCTGAAGTGGCAACCCTTGTCTACCCCATAGAGGGTAGAGGGGAAGACATCCTCTACCCCACCTTGCATGGAGGTAGACAGGCTGCACTGCTTGCCCTCCCCATGTTCCCTCCTACGGCCCTGTGTTAAAGGGCTAGCTCGTTTAAATTACAGCACTTCATTATTAGGCTTGCAAAATAAAATGGACATCTCAGTGAAAAGATGCAGTTTTTTCGTAGACAAATATCCAGACGGTCTTGTGGATCATGACCATGTTGTTGAAATCAAATGTCCAAGCTCTGCATGTTATTTCAAGACAATAAAAGATGCTGTGATTGCTAAAAAATGCAATCATTTGAAAGTCGTTGATGATCAAATAATACTGAACAGAAGGCATTCCTACTTCTTCCAAGTTCAAGGTCAGATGAATGTTACCGGACAAAGTAAATGTTATTTCGTGACCTGGATACCAGAAGATATACACATAATTGTCGTTGAATATGAACCGATGTTTTGGCTCAAGTGAATGGAAGTGCAGCTTAAAAATTTTTACTTAAACAACATGTTACCTTGCATTATCAACGATGATATTGAATATTGAATAGATATAGTCAAATGGGGTAAGACAGGATCACAGCCTTCATGGGTAAGAAAGGACCAGCCCATGGCATGCATTCTAATTGCACTGAATTTTATTTGACAAAAGAATATGTTAGAGCAATCATTGCCTGTCATTTCAGTGTTTGTTTCAACCCTCTTCTGCAAATAATGAATTTCTGGCTAATTTTCAAAGAAAACCTATGTAAAGAAGGGTCACAAAATAGCTAACCCTGTTTGGGAAATAAGCTCTGTCTAATGAAAAAAATTTTTTTGACCAGGTTTGTGGATGTAGGCATGTAACCTCAAGTAATAAGCAACTTTTGAGACATACTAGGCTTTGAGACATCAGCTCAGCGGCCCAAGCACCCTTTGCTTTGTGACGCGTCTGCCCAAGTCTATGCACAATCAAGTTGTGTTCTATTACTATAATTTTTTCCCTTTATTTATTATAAAGTAAATAAAATATGTTATTTAATTGAAAGAATGGGTATCAAAGCCTAAATTACCTTTTGATGAATTGAAAATTCAATGATGAATTTTGCAATCATCACGTCCTTGAA